AATCTTTAACAAGTTTTTTAAAGTTTTGATTTTCAAGTGTTTAAACGGTAGTGGGTTTCTTCACCACACACACACATACTTCGGTCATGGCTTCCAAGCATTCCAATACATTATACTTCAACCCCATAACACAACTCAAGTCTTAATTGGGGAAGAAATGGTCATTTGTGTTGGAACAAAAATCCCAAGAACCATTGGTAGCGTGTATGTATCGAATACCAAAAATTTTCCTTTAAAATCCTACAAGGCGGAATTAGAGTTTACATTCGAGATTGCTCGGGATTGATCTCGTCTCAGCACGAATGCAGAACCTAACAACGAACGCGAAAGACATCTCGAAAAACCTTACTACCTGAATTCTATCTAAAATGTACTTCAACTCCGAAACACTTCCTAACTTCTACTAAACACCCTATTACCTCGCCTAATATTTTTATTTCTACTCTTACAATCTATATAGTTTATGCTTACATCATTACATATATTAGCATTTCAAAATAATTACATTACTATATAAAGATAAGAATGTGGAGGTTTACATCTACTACCCTCAATGGTTCAGCTCTAGCCTGGTACAATCAACTATCCCTGTCTTCATGCTCATCATTCAAAGAATTGTCCCTTCAGGTCATCTCTCATTTCATTGGCATGGAAACTCATCTGAAGCCAAACTCATGTCTCCTTAGCATTAAATAGTGGTCGGATGAATCCTTTAGGATATACGTACAATAATTCAATCAAGAATTCTTTCAGATGGATGACTTGGACAATAAGGTGGCCTTGGCCAAATTTATCGTAGGACTTGTGCTCCAGTAAAAAACTTGTCTTCTTTGTGTCCAAAAACCCTCATGCTAGCATAGTCGAGGTATTAGCCAAGGCAGAGTAGTATATCAACAACGAAGAAGTCCATCAAGCGAGGCGTGACTCTTCAGTAGCACCGAATGTCCAAAAAGATAGAAAAAGGAAGGATTCCAACTCCAATAAATATTAGGATCGATTTCCTAGAAGGAAAAGAGATGTCCGGGATTGTTTAGGTTCCCCAAAGTTAGAGTTTCAATAGCAGCTTGATGAACTTGTGATAGTAGTTGGCTAGGCCAAGGAACGACCGCAGTTCAGACACCTTGGTTGGTGTAGGCCAGTCAACAATTGTCTTCACCTTCCTCTCATCCATTCAGATCTGGCCTTTACTAATCCAGTGTTGCATGAACATCACTTCTTGGCAACAAAATTCGCATTTCTTCTTCTTGACACATAGCTGGTGCTCTCTAAGCAGTGAGAACACCACCCTCAAATGATCTATGTGATCCTCTAATGTCTCACTATAAATTACAATATTGTCCAAATAAACAACCACAAAACATTTGATGTACTCATAAAAGACATCATTCATTAAATTGTAGAAAGTTGTCGAGCATTGGCGAGCCCAACGGCATTACAAGAAATTAAAAAGACCCATAGCATGTCACACACACAGTCTTAGACTCATCTCACTCTATAATTCTCACTTGTCAATGCCCAGTCCTTAGATCCAGTTTTGCGTAGAAGGTTGTCTTGGACAATCTGTCGAACAGATCAACAACATTTGGAACAGGGTACATGTTCTTAATTGTTATCTTTTTCAAGGCTTGATAGTCAATGCACATACGCAGCAAACCATCTTACTTCTTCTAGAACAGAACAGGGGCTTCATATGGCGTCTTGGATGGCTTTATACTTCCAGAATCTAGCAATTTATTCAACTGTTTCTTTAATTCTGCTAGTTCCATCGACGGCATCCGGTAAGGGGCATAGGCAAGAGGCTTAGCACCAGGCTCCAACTTAATCTTGTGGTCAATTGCTCGTCTGGGCGAAAGGCTTTTGGGGAGTTCTGGGGGCATAACATTGAGAAATTCCTCCAGTACATCTGCCACTGCATCAGGTACTTCAACCAGCACATTTGGTTTGATTTCCACCAAAGCTGCGAGGTTTGTCATCTCACCCTTCCTAAGCCCAGCTTTCATTTGCATAGCAAACAACATCTCCATCTTTCACTTGCCTTCTTTCTTGTTTTGGTTTGCCATGACTGCAGGCACAAAGCGGGGTGCTTTCTTATCCGTAATCAACACTTCATTCAAGTGTAGCATCAGTGTCACCTTTGCATTGATAAAACATTCATTCCCTAGGATGACATCAAAATTATCCAAGGGCACAACCATCAAGCTCAATTGGCCTTCCCACAGACCCACCTTCAGCCGTATTTCTACAGTGCCATGCATTGACATTGCTTCAGAATTTACCGCCTTAAGCTTGCTAGCATTTTTAGACAATTGTAGGCCAAATTTACCCACATCATTTGAGCAACGAAATTATGGATGGCTCCCATATCCACCATGGCCAGAATTTCCTTGCCATTCACCCAAGCTTGCACAAACATGAGGCCTTTGCAAGGTTACTGAACTTTGCCCACAATAATTACGTTTAACAACTATAGAGGGTCAACTCAGATGGGGCATTCATCATCACTATCATCCCCACTTGCAGCAATGAGGGCACTCAGCTTCTCCCTTTTGGGGCAGTCTTTGACACGATGGGGGCCATTATAAAGAAAACAACTAGAATCAAAGGCTTTTTTCTTTTGGCTGTTGTCTGGCTTGCTAGATTCAGCAACGTTCTTCCTTTTCTACCAATCCGCCTTCTTTGCGTCTTTTGAAGTGCTAGCTTTATCTTTCCTGCTGCCACCATCCTTCTTTTTCTTCTTAGAAGGGCCTTGATTGTCGCCCATTTCAAAGTCAACAAGGTTATCTCCAACAACGAAGGTAGTGGGCAAATCACATTTCCTCTGTCTCTACAACTCGGCCTGTGCCCAACCTTGCAATCTAGACATGAAGTTGAAGAGTTTGTCTTCCTCTAACATATCCTTGATGCCCAACAACAACAAACTGAACTCCTTCACGTAATTATGAATAGTTCTGATGCACTTTAACTTTTTGAGTGAATCCCTAGCAATCCAGGCCGTATTGCTAGGGAGGAATTGATCCTTCAATTCTTTTTTCAGGGTCTCCCATGTCTCGATCTTTGGACGTCCAGCAAATGCATCGTCCTTATTCTGGGTCCACCACCATAACTTGACGTCACCAGAGAGATACATACTAGTGATTGTAACCTTTTCCTCAGCAAGCACATGTGCAGCTTTAAAGTACTGTTCCATGTCCCACAAGAAATTCTCCCGATCTTTGGGTCTGGAACTTTGATTTTTGAAGACATCTAACCAACTATAGGTCGAGAATTCATGGCCATCTTCTCCAGGGACATTTCATCTTCAAGTTCCTTTAGATTGATTTTGATAGTGTTAGTGAGGAACAAAATTTCCTCCATCATCGTTGTAATCTTTGCATCGGTGTTGGACACACAACTGTCAAAAGTCATCTGTAAACCAACAATTTGAATAACGTGCTACTCCATCTACACAACCATGCTAGTTGCAGCATCACTTTCAGGGGCACCCAGAAAATCTTTGAGGCAGGTCATTTTTTCATGTAGTTCAGCAGCATTTCCACCAGCCATGTTCGAAAACTGAAGCTCTAATACCAATTGTCACGGGGTCAAATTTTTTACCAAATTTTTGGCTCGTGATGGCACTGAGATCCTACACTCAGTCTCAGCTAAACACTCACAGAAATGCACAAAGGAACAGAGTAGGGACAAACAAGCAAACTCACACACAACACACAAACTTTACAGGCCAATGGCCAAACCTTTATTTCTCAGCAAAGTATAAGGAAACTCAGTCTTGGGTTTGCTTACAAAAACATGCCCAACTCTCTTGGTTGCACTACAGACCCAGATATGCCTATTTATAACATTCTAGATGGCGGTTACATGTCCAATCACCTAGGCAACTGCATACAATTCAAATCCGCCCACAAAGTCTGTTGAGAATGGCTAACCACCTTCAGCCACTCCCTCCATTGTTGTTCATGGCAGAGGCAGTTGCAACTGCCTGCAACTTCTCTTCATACTGAGTGCACATGACAGAGACTGTCTCATGCTATGCACCTGCCAGCAATTGCACTAAACTACCAATATCTGTAGGGAACATGTCCAATATCCTCACATGTTATGCATGTGCCTTTCTTATGAGCCCTCAACATCTGATTGTCCTGTATTCGTGCCTAGCCATGCCCATCCCATGGCTTAGTCCTTCAAGCTAGTATTTCCCCACAATTCAAGCCATCTGGCTATCTTGCTTGCATGCTCTCTTGTGCCCATGTGCCCATGTGCATAGACTGCCTCCCTCAGCCATACATGAGACTTCTGCCAATTTGGCTAAGGCATGGGCGCCTTTGGATGAGGCTGCCACATGTCAATGCTGCCAACGAGCTAAGGGGTAACAAGAGTCCATTACACCCCCTCCTCTCCATCCTAGTCGCCCATCCTTTCCCACACTAGATCCACACCATCTATTATAAGTAAGTGGAGAGCCCACCAACTTGCATGCAATCTCACATGCAAGTTAGTGGTGCACCCACTAACTTGTGTATAGATATGTGTATACTCCATATTTTATATGTCTATATATTTAAAAAATGAAAATGGTTACTTTTATATATATCACTATATATACATGTTTGTATATATCACACTCACTCTTAATTTTTCAAATTAAACCCATTTTTTTATCAAGATCTATACACTATCTCCCCGATAATCTTGGTAGTTTACCTTTTTATTTTTTTGAATTAAAATTAATTTCTAGTATATAAATTAACATTTATATCCCTAATATTAAAATGCCTGTCTTGCATGCTCGAGTCTCACAACTGTAGCTTTCCCTAGAAATGTCATGAGAAACTGCAATTTCTTCATTTTTCTCCTCTTCTTCCTCCTTAGACAAAGGGGGTCCAAAGGAATCAAAGTTGAGGTTGAAAAATTAGTCATTTGAATACTTTATCTTGACCTAATCCCTTAGATCCTCATAACTTGCAGCATAGCACTCAGCAGCCTTCTTTTGTAGGACCTTGATGTGGTCGTCATTGCTCTTCACCTTGGATTCAAGTCCAGAACACTTCTTGTCAGCTTTGGCCTCAGATAACCAACTTCCTTCTCGGTATTAGCCTTTTCTAACTTAACTACATCAACAGACGCAACGATTTAGTCAAGCTCAAAGTCCTTCTACTTCAAATTCTCTTTAAGAGTTCGCTCTAATGACTTGAGTGAATCCACCAGAGAAGACAACTCCTCTATTTTTCTTACTGGCAGCCTCATGTTCGATTTTGCCCTCACTTACTTGCTTCTCTTACAATTGAACTTGGCCAATGAGAATAATGGTATGGATGAAAGACTACAAAAGAAGAAAAAATGCAAAAAGAGGGATCCACAAGGGCAACGACGTTGTCAAAAAAAGGGAAAGATTATACCACAACCAACTATGGAGAGCACTAGAGGTCTTCTTCGAAATGCTAAGCCTGTTTATCTCAAGGATGTCAGCCTTGGAAAGGATGCCTAACAACCAAGTGGTGACCAAGGAGGCATTGGAGAAAAAAGAATGATCCTCAATAAGAACAGATGAAGAGGAAAAACCAAAAGATTTAGGAGGCATAGGAACAAAAAAACCATCCCTTACAATTTCCTTCAGGAAAATTATAAGGACCAACTCCAACTATCAAGATATTGTCCACTTTGTGTGCCCATAAACCCTCACAGTGTTTTTCCTCTAGGACTTTGTTAAACGACAAAAAAAAATTCAAAGATCAATGATGGGTTCATGCTCGACTCATGGTTTCTTTAAATTATTGATCGTTAACGTGTTCCTTCAAGCTAAATTGCCAAATTTCACATTTCAATTTGACCCATTAAAATTCATCTTTTTGATGATGAGTATTTGACGATTGGGTAGTCCCCAAACTCCCCAATACACCAATTACCTACAAGTGAGGAAAAGTGGACTTGGTGGGGTATTTAAAAGATTGCCAGCTGCCCCCCTTCACATGCAAATACACTTGGAGAGGAGATATAGAGGGGAGAGAGTTGGACAGTTTACAAAGCAAGAAAAAAAAATAGAGAAGGAAGGAGAAAGAAGTTTGAATAACAAAATGGTTGCAGAAGACAAAACAATCTGAGCTATTCCACAAGTATAATCTTTGATTTCTTTCCCTACTCTTGGATTTAATTTGTTAAAACTTTGATTGCAGCGAATGGGTTCAAAAAATGCTTGGTTGTTTCCATTGTAGTATATCCTAACCTCCAAACATTATCCCTCAATGCATATAGTCTATGTGTGGAGGGGAATGTCACTCTCCCTTGGAATGATGTCAAAAGAAAAGGCAATGGAATGGTGGGTGAATGAAATGTATAAAATGTGTGGGTATGTGTGAACAAAATGCTCCTCAAGCACAGAGAGACTTTTGCTTGTCGTGTTTTACTTGGAATCGTATTCTAAGGTTGTCTCCTCAAGGAAGGAGGTGTATCATCATGAAGGTGATTTTTGTAAAAATAAAGTGTAAAATCTTTTGTTGGTTGAAGGTTGGTTTGTGATTGTAATGAAAATGAAATAGAACAAATGTTGGCTAATCCAAAGGGTTCACTCCAATGGAAATACCAAGTCAACTCGAATCCTTCCTCCAATAGAGCATAGATGTATGATTGATTCGTGGGAAGCTAGGGATGAGATGGAACTGAGGATCCAAGCATAACTCATGACAAGTTTACGGGATATCAAAGACTCACAATCCCGTCCACCCTCTACCTAGTCAAATCGAACCATCGTACCCTAAGAGGAAAAAGAAAAATGAGTTGAAATGATATACCCAAGAGGAGGTCTACCTTGGATAAAGACAACAATGTAATGAGAAGACATATGAAGAAATGAAAATTGGAGCTAAGCTAATGCAAAAAAACATAAATTAAGAGAGAATACATTTAATACCCACTTTAAAACTAAGAAAAGAAAACGAAATGCACAAATATAACTTTTGGATGATTTATACATGTCCATCACCTCTTTCTAAAGAGTGAATGAGAAACTACTCACTCGTCTTGGCTTCAGTAAAGTTAGAAAAATGAGTAATGTTCATCCCTCCAAGTAGAGGAATTACATGGTAAAACATATTACACAAGGAGCCGATCTTTGACAAAGAATGAGTAATCACGTTTCACCCTTCACGATTTTGGTGAAAATGGGTTTTCCTTTTCAATTCCATGGAAAGTGGGAAGTAGTTGCAACATCCCCGGGGTGGGGGAGGACAAGAACCTAGAATGCCTAATCCATGAATAGAATTTTCCCCTCCCGTGAATGAAGGGAACAACATCCACATTGAGCCTCCGGCAAGGTTAATGAGGGATTTCCTTCAACCCACATGAAGCACCACACCCTCATGCATTCTCCTTTCAGTCCAAACTCATCTCTTCCTAGTTAAGCCAGGGATTGTGCAACTACTTCCCACTTTCCACGGAATTGAAAAGGAAAACTCCTATTTGCACATAAAGGATTTTGAGAAAATAGTTGCAACCTTTCTCACCACTCATGGTATGGAAGGCATAGCAAGGCTGAAATTTTTTCCTTTTTCCCTAAGAGATAAGGCAAAAATGTGGCTTACTTCCTTGGGGCCTCGATCCATAAAATCTTGGAACCAAATGCTCACCGAGTTTTTAAAAAAAATTTCCAGTGCATAAAACCACTACTTTAAAAAAACAAATTCAAAACTTTTTGAAAAAGCCCAATGAGTAATTCTACCAATGTTGGGATCAGTACAAGGAGTTGCTACAATCCATTCCACACCATGGCTTTGAACTGTGGCAGTTGGTGAGTTTCTTCTATGAGGGAATCACACCGGGCCATCGACAGTTCATAGATATGATGTGTAATGGGGAGTTTTTGAGTAAGGACGCCGATGAGGCCTTAGACTACTTTAATACATTGGCACAAAATGCATAATCATGGGACATTACGGATCCCACCGATGTACCAAAGTCTTCTCCTCAAGGGAATAACCAAACTCATGGGGGAGGGATTTATGACTTGAGAGACTGGTCCAAAATTGCCAAGTTGTCTAGGAAGGTTAAGAGTCTTGAGGTAAATAGGAGACACGAGGTGTCAAATGTTTCAAAGATTGAGGAGGACTGCTCAATTTGTGAGAGTGTAGATCATTCCATATCAGAGTGTCCTAACATTCCGGTACTTAAGGAAGTGTATCACGACCAAGTCAATGCCTTTAACCAAACGAGGCAATCATTCTCTACACATTCAAATACTTACAATTTGGGTTGGAGCAATCGCCCGAACTTTAGTTAGAGAAATGAGAATCTCACTCCTCATGGCTCAAATGCATACACACCTCCTGTGCCTCCTAGGCAAAATCAATTTAAATCCCATGGTCAAGCATCTAGCTCCCAATACCCCCAGACCAATCCGCAAGGATATTCGTCAAACCCACCACCACAGAATTTTTCACCAAATCCCCCTCCACAAAGCTTTTCCCAAGGGTCATCCAATCCTCCTACCTATCAACCTCCCCACAAGAGGAATTTGGAGGATATGATTTATGCTTTCATTCAAAGTCAGACTACCATCAACAATCAAAATGCCACAGTTTTTAATAACATTCGAGCCCAACTCACGATAAGCTCTAGAAAAGTGAAAGAGTTTCACTCCTCTAAGGGAAGAATGGAGCTCAAACAATAGAAGTTAAAAAAAGCAATAATACAATAAAATAAAGTAATACTTAAAGTAAAAGAAGCAATAAATTAAAAGAAAGCAATAAAACTTTTGGAGGGTTTTTCAGTACCAAAAGATGGATGTTTTACAAGTCCTAAGGAGTGGTATTTGTAGGCAACAAGGGAGGATGAAAGTCTTGTTTGGCGGCTTTAAATTATACTTTAATCCCCCTTTATTTTGAGCTTTGATAATTTGCACCCTATAGTTTATAGTTTTGACAATTGGCACCCAGTAATTTTTAGCTTTGGCACAATTGGTTCTCCAGTAGTTTGTAGCTTTGACACAATTGACTCTCAGTAGTTTGTAGCTTGACACAATTAGCTCTCCAATAGTTTGTTGCTTTGATGCACAAAATCTTGAAAAGAACAACAATTAATGCATTATCCATAATTCACACACTAACCCTAATTTGACTTATTTTGACTAGTTTAACTTTTTTTAACTAACACAATTGACCTTTTAACTTAATTACATTAAGCATTAACTAAGGTTAATCAAAACCACAACAATCTGAAGCAATTACGGCAACATCCAACTCTTCAAAAAATTACCAATTATAGGGATTTTCGACCCTTAGATTTCGAACTACGAAAAGGTTGTTCTATACTCTTCTCGGCAAAAACTGCATGCTCTCTTTGGATAAAGAAAAATTTCTTGGAAGCTTCCCGATTTCTTTCAGCCAAGTCCACATGTGTGAACAGACCCACACATACAAAAGAAATGAAGCCAGGTTATGCAAATTCAGTCTTCGTCCAGCCCATTTGTGGCAATGTTTCAACTCCTCTTGCTGAATATTTTTTGTTGAATCAAGGAATATAGAACAGGGGCAGAAAAAAAAAGGAAAGAAATAACTCCTCTTCTTCGTAGTCCATTTTTTTTGTGTAACAGAACAGAGGAGTTTCTTTTAACTCTTCCCATAATCAACCTCAATAGGCATAAATTTCATGAGCCAACCAGTCCATTCCGAAGTCAGCTGCATAAATTTAAAGAGCCCCTAGCTCTTTAAAGATTGTGCTGAGTTGAAGGAGTACCCAACACCATCTTGCTCGGAGGTGACGAAAAAGAGCATTCGACTCTATACCGAAACACAACGATTCCAAACCCACTGTCCACAATCCCAACCTCTTCCAAATAATAAGCCAAGGAGTTTCCAACTCCTAAAGCTCCAAGCAGAGCAAATTTCTGAGAGTTTAAACTTATCTTGCTACCTGTAAGATCCTCGGGCGGTCACAAGTTAAGAGTCTTTGACTCTAATGAAGTTTTGAACTCTTACCCATTCCATTTGTTTTGTCACTAATCTCTTCTATTGCAACAAGCATTGACAGACAAGAAAGTAAACCAAGCACGGTGGCCGAATCAAACAAAGAGTCTTGGACTATTATAATTTCAAACTATATGCCGAGGACTAGTATTCTTTTCGAATAGAGTTTCAAATTTCCATTTTTTTTAGTCACTCTCAAGAGTTTAAGCTTTTTTGTTGGTCTTGGTTTTTCTAAAACCTATATGATAGAGTTTCGGGAGTTTCTAACTCCTAAAAAAATATGGACTATTTGACTGCTCAACAGAATTTCATGGAGTCTTCAACTTCATTTTACAAAAGGTCATGTTGTGATTTAAGGAGTTTTCAACCCTTAAAGATCGCTACGGTGTAAAAATTTCTAGAATTCTAAGATCTTGGCGGCACTAAAGGAGCTTTGGGTTCTTCACAAACCAATCAAACTGCTAAATGAATAGTATTTCGAACTCTCTCTAAAGTTGCTTACTGTTTTCTTAGGAAAAAAAGAGTGTTTGAC